GGGGGTTGACTTGACACGTCCGTGGTCAGGGTGAGATAAAGTTGCCTGTGGTGAACGCCTCAAAGCATCGCCCCGCCCTGCCCCCGCCGCCCACCCTGGGAGCAGAGCGCCGTTGTCGCCCTTTGTCACAAGGAAACCCAGCCTAGGCTTGCGGCCTGCGGCCAGCGCCCCGTGCGGCATCTGTTCCCCCTGCCCCCGCGCGCACTCGCTGCATAGGAAGTGGCATGTTTAGGCGGGCCGGGGCTGCCTGCGCAAACGCACGAGGAGCCCCCTGCGCCCCACGGCTGCTGGAAAGCCAGCTCTGACCCGTCCTCCCAGGCGGGGGCTTGGAGCTGGGTTTGTGGCTGGCCCGCCCAGAGCAGGCAGTGCCCCAGTCCACGGCTCTGCAATCCAGGCCGGGATTTCAGGCTGGTTTACGCACGACCCTTCTGCTTCACCTAAACCAGTGGGGCTCAACCTTTTTTGTAAAGTGCCCTTTTAAAAAAAAGCACAAGGACCCCTTTTTCAAACAAACAAAAAGTCCCCCCAGTACCTCCAGTTTTCAGACACAAGATTTTTTTCTACCATTGCAACACATTTGTTTAAACAACTTACTCATAGGTGGGCGGGCGATGACATTTTTGGGTGTAAAAAGTACAAAAATAATAAAACGCTGTAAAATTCAAACAAAAATTCAGTTTTCTCCAAATTTCAGCTGTGTTGACGGACCCCCCAGACTCCTCTCGAGTACCCCAAGGGTCGTACTGGTTGAGAAACACTGATCTAAACCCCTTGAAAAGCTCCCTTTTGGCTACAGGAGACGGGGCGGGGCGCTGGTTCCCAAAAGCTTTGTGTTTCACCTGGGTGGCTGAACTCGGACCGTGTGCACTCGGGGGGGGGGGGGCCTCGCTCTGGCTTAGCGCACACCGATTAGGCAGCCATTGGCCGTTAAACCGAAGCAAGCCACTCCTAAGCCGCTTTAACAGGTACACATGGCTGTGGATGGGAGCTGCTGGACTAACCATTAGGCAGGGTTGCCTCACAGATTAAAGCCCGGGCCTTGGACGTAAGCGCTGGGGAGCGTCCGTGGGGTGCAAGTTGTGCATAAACCCGCTTTGTGTGTTTCCTTAGCCCACTGGCCTAACGGCCCGTCCCCCTCCCGGCTGCGCTGCTCTCGAAAAGTTCCTTTTGCCATGTTCTCTTGCGAGGGGCGCCAGCGTGTGCGCCCAGGCCCGTTCACAGGCGCGATTCGTAGCCCTGTCTAGTGGAATGAGCACAGGCCCGGTGCAGATCATGGAGCCCTGGTGTGGATCAGCGAAGGGCCAGGTGTAAGGAACCTGCTGCGCTCAGCTCCATGCTGGTGTGTGGGGCCGTAGCAGGGCCGTCTGGGTTTAACTAGCTCGGGTTTTACACCGATTTGAACCGGACAGGCGCCAGGTTACGGGTGGATACGGCTTAGCCTGGCTGGCTCTGCACGGTCCAGAGGGGACTGATGTGAGGCCACACTTGTCCCTGCTGGAACGTCACTGAGCCCAGAGCGCGCTCGGGGGCATCTCTGGCCCCGGGGCCCTAGAGCGACGCTTTTCAGACTTACCCCGGCTACACACGCTCCTGTCGGGGGCAGGCAAGACAAATGCTCCAATGCAGGCGAGATCGTTTATTTGGTAAGATCTGGCAATGGAAGCCCAGGAAGGCGACGACTCTCTGAGGGATGGGAGAGGCTACGCTATTTGGAAAGGGGAGCGAGACCCGCTGGCCTAGGGGAACTGGGCTCCGCTACACCCAAGGGAGGCGCACACAGGCAGTAAGGAAGCTTGGCTCCCGGTTTATTAGGTCGAGCCGGCTACCCGGGAGCAGGGAGCCAAAGGCAGCCAAAGCATCAGAAATGATTTTACAGACCAGGGCTCACTGCCCGCTGCAGATTAGCGCCACACACGCAAGCGCGGGCGAACCCCCCTCGCTGCGTCTCATCTCTGCTCCGCGGGCAGGTCCAGGCCACACAGAGCCGGTTAGTCATTGAGCGGCCAGACCGGGTCCGACCAGAGGTTCATCCAGCCCGGTGCCCCGGAGGGAGGGAACAGAGCAGGGAATCATCACGGGATCCGTCATCCCTTGTCGCCCACTCCCAGCTTGTGGCAAACGCAGCCTAGGACGTCCTGGCCCACCTGGCTAATAGCCCCTGATGGACCTGTCCTGCATGGATCCCGTTCTTCCGTGAGCCGGGCAGGCTCTCTGCAGGAGGCTGTGCCTGCTGGGATCCCCTTGCTG